TGAGCAGAGGCGGGTGGGCTTGAGAACGGCGCGGCCGGCGGATTCCCAGGCTGGATATATATACAGGGCTCCAGACTGCGACCATTTTTTTTGCCGGTGCGACTAATTTTTGTGAGCGGTCGCACTGGCGCGACCACCGAAACTAAACCGTGCTATGTTTCTGCTGCGCAGCTCGGACCGCGATGCAAACAAATTTATCTGAGCTCAGAACAGCTTTACTCGGGAGCCAAAGTTGATTTCGCGACACTGTTACTGCACCGATGCAACAGTGCTGCGAGATCCAGTGTGAAGTATTTGAATTCACCGCACAATGATAAGTTTGCTGCGAGATCTACTGAGAATCATTCAAATTCAGCAAATTTAATTGTTATTTTTTGTCAAATACAAAACAGCGCTGACATACCTCAGAAAACCAGAAGCGGTAACGCTAGCTGTAACCCCATGGTGTTGTAGAAATAGTCGAATGCATTACATCATTCATTTCAGGGTTTGTACAACCTTTTGAGAGAGAAATTCAAGCACTTTTCAATGACCTTCAAGCATTTCACACAACTATTTCCAGCTCTTTAAAGCTCTAAAATGATCCAGTTTGAATGTTATTTTTAATGGGATGAACAAAATATACTTTGTGGTAAACAAACACTTGTGTAAAATTTAAAAAATACATCAAATCGCAATTAGAACCAGTAGACCGCAGGAGAGGAGCACTTATCGGCTTAGTCATTCATTTCTACCTTTCTTTAAGAGAGAAATTCAAGCACTTTTCAATGACCTTCAAGCATTTCACACAACTATTTCCAGCTCTTTAAAGCTCTAAAATGATCCAGTTTGAATGTTATTTTTAATGGGATGAACAAAATATACTTTGTGGTAAACAAACACTTGTGTAAAATTAAAAAAATACATCAAATCGCAATTAGAACCAGTAGACCGCAGGAGAGGAGCACTTATTGGCTTAGTCATTCATTTCTACCTTTCCTCTATATTTTGAAATTATAAAATCACTATTATAAAATATCAAATCATCAAGAAATCATCATTTTGTGTGTGTATAAAGTAAGAAAAGTCACAAACATTTCTTCAATTTGCTACTAAATCCCACACAATCACTGAAGTTGGTCAGTTCAATATGCTAGAAGAATAATGGTACATTTAATAAGAGTGGAATATATACATTTTCTGTATATAAAAAGTAGATTTTGCACCTATTACTGTTGTTAATAAAAGTACATTTTGTATGCATCATAACTCAAGAATAGTGCTTTACTGTCAAATCTGTATAAACGATAAACAAAAGAAAAATAAACAAGAAATGAACATGAAATATTATTAGTAACTGCACTTATTAATGCAAAACAATAGTAATTTTATGATTAAATTATCTTTATTTTGAATACCCCCACACACCACTGCTCTCAAATGTTAGTCTGGAGCCCTGATATATATATATATATATATACTGTATATCAGTGTCAGCCATTGGAAACTCAACCATCAATATAAGACTAATCTTTTGTAATGTTCTTAAATAGATGTATGGCTTAACATTGTCCACTGGCAGTTTATTTATGACCAGATTTATAGTAGTAGGAACATGTGTTTAATGCATATGCATGGAACACCACAGTCACTAACTTTTACTATCTATTTGGCTGTTTAATTATTTGTAGCTATTAACTCTGTCTGTAATATTTTTAGATGTACTTTATGTATTGTCGAGTGTTGCAGTGGGGTTTGCTACAACCAAATGTGTTCACTTGAATGTCTCAAATGTATATATCGGAGTAAATACTTATTAGCTAAAGCTCATCATCATTTTTAAATCTTAATTCAACCAGTATAAATAACATCAACAGATATTTTCCTTGTTGATCACATCATGGTAAAATGACATCACAGACAAAAAATAAATAAATCTCATACAGTTAGCTTTGGTGTACTATGCTGCGGAGCATAACAAAACTTTAAATAACCTCACTAATGTTTTTTTCCATTTGTAATGTCATCGCTTGTAAAAGTATGATATCTT